CTCCCTGGGGGCTCCCCGCGTCCCGCGTCCCGGCTCCCTGGGGGCTCCCCGCGTCCCGCGTCCCGGCTCCCTGGCGGCTCCCCGGCTCCCCGCGGGCTTCAGGGCTCCGTCCCCTCCCTCTCCCGGGACGCGCTGTCCTCCGGGCGTCCCGCTCCCGGCTCCCGCACCTTCGCGCCTGCCGGGCCGGCCCTCCTCAGCCCCCAGCCCTGTGCTGTAGCTGCCGCCCAAACTCTGCCATTCGCTTGCGCGTTCGAGGCCGTGCTAGGACGCGGCCTCGCGGTGTCCCCCGGAGTGTAGGGGTGAAGGCGTGGTCCCCGCCGCAGCGACGTGCGGAAGGCGAGGTCGGAAGCCGCGCGCAGAGTGCCTGCGGGGCTGCGGCTGGGTGTCCTCCCTTCTGGTCTCCCTGAGGTGATGTAGCCCAAGGCCCTCGGATCAGATGTTCATTTAAGAAATCTGCAGGGCACCCTCCACCTTTTTAGCCTCCAGAACATGTCCATCTCTTTAGATTTCTCCCCAGATGGCTAACAAATATGTCCAGTTTTCAGTCCAACTACTGATCTTCCCCTAAGAACTTTTCTTTCACAAGACTCCCTTTTTGTTAATGATAATTACATCGTTTTATCAGAAAGAAACCTTAGGGTTATTGTTGACTCTTCCTGTGGCTGATTTTTATTTTTGGGGGGACAGGGTCTTGCTAAATTGCCCAGGCGAGGCTTGAACGTGCAATCCTCCTGTTATGGGTCAACTCTGCATAGGAACCAGATCAGCCAGATAGAGGTTTGAATAGAGCCTTATTTACTGAGCTCAGGTCCCGCGCCACTTCTCTCGCAGGAGAAGGCTGGTCAACCCCGAACGTAGGTAGCAGGGGGTGTTTATAACAGAAATCACATCCAGCTTGGTAAGCAAACTTGTTATCTAGCACAGAACCACAGAAACTGCATTCATTTGACACAGCTGCAAACTGTTCATAACTAAAAGGTCTTTCACAGCTTAGTGATAAGTGTCTATTTTTACAAGGTACATCTTAAGCTGACTACGTTGCAGAAGATGGTTGGGGAGGGAGTTTATGTTCGCTTGCTGCCTTGACAAGAAACAGTTACTTATTGTTGAACAGCCTTGAGCCAAAAGGGAGAACACATTTCTTAGAGCAGATAACAGGAAGCACAAGGGGTTTTTATAATTTTTCACAATTAAGGCACAAAACTCTATTAACCCTTTACACCTCCTGCCTCAGCCTCGCAGAGTGCTGGGATTAGAAACCCATGCCACCGCCCTGGGCTCTAATGAACACCACGGGATGACTTTGGCTGCTGTGCCGGGAACTGCCGGCTCAGTGGAGATCCGGAGGGGACTGTTCTGGCCATAATCCAGGTGCCGCAGCAGGGGCTCCTCCTAGGAGTGACAGCAGCAGGCGTCCAGCAGGCATCGTACAAATGGCCAGAGTCTGAAAACACTTGTGAAGGTTTCATTTGAAGACACTCTGGCAGCTTGGGGTTGTTTATGGGAGGGAGGAGGGAGGGCGGGACATGGGGTAAGTAGTAAAAGCTCAGTTTACATTTGCAGGAGAAATGAATGACTTCACTGTAGTCTTCATAAAGGCAAGAGCCATAGCCTGCTCATCTACGTAATAAGTGATGGACTAAGTGGAAGAAAAGAGCTTTGCATCAGCAAAGTGCTTACAGGAGCAAAGCATGTCTCCATCTTCAACCAAAGCACTTGACCTCTCCAACTAAATTATGTCGCAGACTGTCTTCTCTTCCTCTTTAGAAAAGAAAAATGTTCATGGCTACGCTGGGCTTAGAGGAGGGGTACTGCAAGGCCCTGGGTTTGATACCCTGCGCTGAAGAAACATCAGCTCAACCAAAAGTACAGCGAGTAGAGTTTGCAATGAAAAATAGTTATTAAAACAAGGCTCCATGATGGCCCCCCATCAGGAGAATAAGGCCACGTCTGGGTGTCATGGCGCTCACCTGTAATCCCAGCACTGGGGAGGCTGAAAACAGGAGGCTCACTGGGAGTCCGAGCTGTGTAATGAGCCCCTATGCCAAATACATAAAAAAAAATTTTTAAATGTCCCTGGCAAGCGCAAGGGTCTGAGTTCAATCCCTGGTTCTGCCAAAAACAAAACAAAACAAACAAACAAACAAAAAACATAATTAAAAAAAAAAACATGAGGCAGTTTAAACCTCCAACTTAGGCTGGGATATAGCTCAGTGTACAAGTGCCTGCCTGGAAAGCACAAGGCACTGAGTTCAATTCCTGGAACAGGAAAAAGCACCTCCAACTCAGCTGAGTACAATTTTTCCTTTCCAGAGCTGCCTGTTAGAGAAAGAGATAAGACTGTGGAGGGGACAAACAGCAGACCTGTGGGCTTAAGCATTTGAATTTTATAACTTACCAAACGGGAGGAATCCAAGCCTCAGGACAGGAAGGCCTCACTTATTAAAGAACACTTCCTGTTTACCTGAACACACTGCTAGAGCAAATGTCAATGCTGGAAAAGTCCCAGCAACTTGTTCCCCCAAGTGACAAGTTCACATGTTGTTCTTTGAAGTTATATGAAAAGTTATAACTTATTCCTCATGAAAGCTTTTGGAGCCAAATGACTGTGAGGCCAAAGGCCCAGGTCCTTCTCTCGGAAGGCACACACTCACGGACGTGGCTCTGTCCCTTTCCCAGGGTGGCAGCAGACTCCCATCCCACTCAGAGGAAGGCCAAGGACAGTGACACAGGGTGGCCACTCACCACTGCTGGTGGCTGCCCCGACTGACACATCCACCTCAGGCCCCTCTGGGATGGGGCTGGAGTAGTCTGTACCAACTCAGCAGGTGGGCCGGGAGTGTCCAGGACCATGATCCGTGGAGAATGCAGCGTGAAAGGGGAGCTGGGAGCATCACAAACTTGGAACATCCCCCCAGTATTTTCCCAGAAGAAATGAAAACATACCACAGCGCAATCTGTGTATCCATGTTTGTCACAGCGCAATCTGTAATAGCGAGGTCTTAGAAACACCCAAACACCCACCAACCAGGGAATGGATAGAAAAGGTGTGGTCTTTTTCCACGAAGGCGTATGACTCAGCCATAAAGAAGGATAAATGGGAGACTCTTCCAGGTAAATGGATGCACGTCAGACCATACTCATAAGTAAAATAAATCTGAATCACCTGTAAACATCGGATTATCTCCCTAGTATAAGAAACGGAAAGAGTAAGGTCTAAAAGGTACAATAGATACTGTGAAAGGAAAAGAAACCGCTCAAAAAGAGAAAAACGGGGAGAGGGGAAGAGAAGAGCAGGGAAAAATGATCTGTCTATACACACACGGTAGCTAAGACAATCGCGCTACTAATTTCTGTGAGTTCGTTGAAAGGCGCGGCTCGTGCTTGCGCTGCCAGGTCGGTGTCGCACGCCTGCACCTGGTGATCTGAGCAACTGCTTTGGAGAGGACAATATGCAAAGTGACAGCCATTGGTAACTTCCTGTCGTCTTGTTCTGAAAATCCCTATCGTGTTTATTGCGGGTTTTTGGTTTTTTGTGGTACCAGGGATCAAACTCAAGACTTTGCATTTGCCGGGCAGACACCTCTCCTGGGCTATCTCTTCGGCCCCTATTACTGTTGTTGTCTTCTTAAAAGAAAGGGGGCTGCACAGTAGATCCTGGCTGACAGAAAACTTGGACCACATGACAATCAGAAATGCGGAAACACACCAACTGTGCGTGCCACATTCATGGAAACGCCACTCAAACTGCACAAATTAACCTGTATACAGATGGCTTTCCCAGAACATACTGCATATGGGAGGTCAGCTGCGTGAAATTCGAAGGCCAGTGCCTAGAATTTTATAGTATCCTTGCTCACTGCAACAGAGGATGAGCCAAAAGAGCCAGCAAGCATCTCTGAAGTCTCAGTAAGAAAACTGTCCCGCTGACTAGCATTTGACAGTTGGGGAATTTATAAATGTATGTCACACCAGAAAATGTATAATCTGCACTGTTGCGATTAGTAACCCTTCCATTCACATAATGACACAAGAGGGTTTTGACTCCATGGGCCAAGATGTGGAATAAGTAAACATCCTGGTCTATTAGTCTAGTTTATTTTCTAGGCAGGGTCTTACGATGTAGTCCAGGCTGGCCTTGAACTCACTATGTAGCCCAAGCTGGCCTCAAGATCAAGATGATCCTCCTGCCTCAGTCTCCTGAGTGCTGGGATTACAAGTGTGTGCCACCCCTCCTGGCTCTTCTCGGTATAATTATTAACAGCAAGGCCCCTCTGCCTTCTAAAATGTGTCCCCGTTTGCTTAATAAGTTACTCTACTTTGCCTAAATGGCTGTTATGGGACACTAAGCCTTGGCTGTGGAGCTGCTAAAATCAGCTCCATAATTTTCCTAGAAGGACATGGGTGGTCAGACTGGTTAAATCACCTGCATTTTCCCTCAGAGAAAAGCTCTGAGTTGGGCAAGGTACACAAATGCGGAGGGCTGTCATGAATGAAGGGTCAGCTCGGTTCCTCTTCCTTCTTTTGAGCTTGCTGTTCGTACAGCCTGCCAAGACCACGCTGGATAATGGAAACTCTCTTGCCAGCCACTGGAGATTTTAAATGTCACCAGGAGTTAGGAGAAAAGTCTCCCACCTTTTATCTGTTTACACTATTTCCGGCTTATCAGACAAAACACAGAAGCAGGGCTTTGTACAGAAGCTATTTATTTTTAAGTTAACAGCAGAGTGAAGGCTCTTGCCCCCTCCCGCCCCATTACCAAGTCCAGAACTGTCAGTAACGCATCTCCACGGGTCGGCAACCTCACACCAGACACTCAGCTGAAATCCAGCCCTCTGCCTCCCTTACTCTCCTGAGCAGCAACTGTCACCACTCTCGCTGAAAAAGCCAGGGGACAAACTATGAAAGAGAGGGATGGGAGGACAGGCAGCGGCTGCCTGGCAGCAGATCTACCTACCCATGGTCCAAGTGCAGCTGCAGTCCCTGCTCCCGGGTGCCCCAGAGGGCTCGGCCGAGTGGCACCTGCTCCTGCTCCACGGCAGCCCCTCTGCGGTGGCCTCACAGCCCAACCCCGTAGACGGCCTTGTACCGGAGGTACTCTTCCAGGCACTGCAGAACATTGTCGTCCACCTTTGGGTCAAACTTGTTGGCCAGCAGGTGATGGTTCTGCAGCATCCAGTGCAGGTCCCCCGCCCCGTAAATGCAGATGGCCCGCTGGTGGACCCCAGAGCAGGGCCCGTAAGGGGCCCCCTGGCTCACATCGCCCTCATGCTGCTGCCATTTGACCAGCCTGGCGATGGAGACCATGTCTGAGATGTCGTACTTGGGGTGCTGGGGGGAGGAGCCAGGCATCCAGGAGGCCCGCTGCAAGGTAGCCCAGAGGTGCTCATCAGGACTGTAGGTGTCCTTGACCCATTCGATCAGCTGTCGGGATTTGGGGTTATTCAAGACGTGATGAACGAAGTCTCGAGAAGCCACGATGTAGGCGTTGCCGGTGAACATGGTCACATTATTAGGGGGAGGACCCTTCTTCCTGTTGGTCATGTACAGCGTGTCCTTCACCACATAGTGGTACTTCCAGCGGGTTTTTTTGTATTCACTGGGTATTTCTGACTCCATACTGTTCTTCCCGTTCAACATCTTAAGGGCCTGGACCATCTCTGCATTGGTCTTAAGAGGAAAGTCTGTCCCGCAAGTGTTCAGCAGGTACCTCCAGGGCACTGGGCTCTGTAGCAGGTCCTCCATGCAGTTCAGGTCGGCCTGCACCCTGGACCAGGAAGCATAAACCACCGGAACCAGCTTGCTGGCCACAAAGACATTCTGGAAGCAGGAAGCGATCGCCCTGACCGCCTCTTTGAATGTTTCTGGAGACTTCTCGTCCACGTGGATGCAGTAGACATTCTGGGGCACATACACGGCTCGCAGCAGCCGCTCAAAGTTCTCGATCTTCTCATGCACCACCATGGAGTAAGCAATAGGGAAGTCCACCTCCTCTTTGCTCAGCGAAAGCTGCACGAACCTCCTCTGGGCCTTAAAGGCCTCACAGTCTCTGGTCATGGTGACGTAGTCTGCCTCTGAGAAAGGCTGCCGCTTCTCCTTGACCTCCAGGTTATTCAGGACAGCCTGGATCACTGCTTCCTGGTCCCCTCTGGTGATCCCCGAACAGTTGACAGACCTCTTTGCTGGAAGCCTCAGGGATCTGTACAGGATATTCCTACAGTACCGAGTGGGAAATTCCTTGGAGTCCAAATACAGTTGATCAAAGTCACACTTCAGTCTGAGAGAAAGTCTCAAGGCAACAACGGCCAGCACCAGGTAGCAGCCCAGGACCCACACATGGTAATGCCGGCAGAGCCTCTTCCATGGAATCATCTTTGCAGCCAGTGTGGCCGCGAAGTAGGGAGACCCCTTGGATGGAACAAAACACCTCCGGTTACAAACTCAGCATGAACACATTCCCGGGAATGCCAAGTTCGAGTCCCAACTGATAGCAAGCTAGGTATTTCTTCTCTAGACAAACATCCTCAACAAAGACCTGCCAGGGAGAGTTTTACACCTGGCTTCCTGCTAGAGTTCTACAACCTGCCACTGCAGGCTAGCCAGCCCACCGCACTGGATCGGGATCCGGCTCCACCTCCACATCAGGAAACAGACAAATGCCTGTTGACCTGAAGGGGTGTTAGGGGAAGTCCCCACCCCTCATTGCTCATCTGGCTCCAACCCCAACCACCTGGAATGGTGCTGTCATCTGGAGTCTCCAATTCTTAGTGGGTCTGGAGACAAAATCCATGAAATGCAGACTCTCGGCACCCATTCTAGAACTACAGGCTGGGGGTATAGTTTGGTGGTACAGTTTTTGTCTAAGCTGCAGAAGTTCCTGGATTCAATACCTAGCACCATAAAAAAGTAAGAAATTTTTTAAAAAGGAAACATACGGGCTGGGGATACAGCTCAGTGGCATAAGTGCCTGCCTGGCAAGCGCAAGGTCCTGAGTTTGATCCTCAGTACTGCCAAAAAAAAATACATTTCTTGCTTCTATTTGGCAATTTATATGTTAAAATGCTTTCTTTTTTTCTTTCTTTTTTTTTTTTTTGTGGTGGAACCGGGGATTGAACTCAGGCCCTTGAGCTTGCCAGGGAAGCACTTATTCTACTGAGCCATCTCCCCGGCCCCCAAGATGCTTTCTTAATATGTAAGAATTCAATAGTCACATGTAGCATCTAGGCAGCCTTTTTATTTATTTATTTATTTATTTATTTTGGCAGAACCGGGGATTGAACTCAGGTCCTTGTGCTTGCTAGACAAGTGCTTATTCAACTGAGCTATCTGCCTGGCCCCAAGACAGCCTTTTTGAAAATGCTCTTCAACAAGTACAAATGAGCGCTTCCCTGGCAAGCACAAGGGCTTGAGTTCAATCCCCAGTTCTGAAAAAAAAAAAAAAAACAAGCACAAGGGTGCTTGCCTGTAATTTCAGCAACTTAGGAGAGGGCCTGAAGTTCAAGGCCAACCTTGGCAACTTAGCAAGACCTTGTCTCAAAATAAAATTTTAAAAAGGACAGGCTGTAGCTTGGTGGAAGAGTGATTTCTCACCTTGCACATGATCCTGGACTCAATCCCCAGCCCTAAAACAAAAGTACAAAGTGGATATTATCCACGAAATACACTTTATACATTCACATACTCCATCAAATGTAAAATATATTTTCACACCAGGACAAATAACTGTGTGTTTGGTATTTCATGAGCACCTTCTATGTCAGAGACTTTTTTTTTTTAGGGTCTCGCTGTCTCACTATGCAATTCAGGCTGGTCTTGAGCTCCCTTGTAGCACAGGGTGGTCTTAAACTCGCAGCCATCTTCCTTCCTCAGCCTCCCGATGCTGGGCTTACAGGCCTACACCACCATGCCTGGCTTAAAGATACCTCTTTTTCTATCACTCCACCGAATTTTCACAACTAACCTGAAGTACAGTATTAGTAGGCTTCTTTTCTAAGAGAACAGACGTCAGGTAGCTGACTGAACGCTACTCCTGTGGTGAGTAACACGACCTGCAATGTTAGGTCTCTACACACGAAGTCGTATCCTCTTTAGTAATAACAGTTATGGGACTCTAAGAGGATGGAAAATTCAAAACAGTCTCACCTTCAACAGCTTCTTTTCGGCCTGGAGGGTATGGTTCTATCTCCAAGGGACGACAAGCTGGGTTCCATGGAAGGAGATGTACGCACCATATTCTATGGCCTTCCTTCTTCTAGAGCCTCAAAATATATTTTCCAACATTCACCAGTCACCCAAGAAACACATGTGGGCTCCGCTTTCATCTCTGCAAGGTGGACAATGGCGGGGAGCTCTGTCACCTTTCAGGAGCTCCGTCACCCCTCGGCCCCCTGCTCTGCGATAAGCAAGCGAGCTCAGACACATCCTTCAGGAGCAAGTCCTCAAGCAAGAGTCACGAGGGAGGCGTGCGAGCCAGAGGCCAGCAGCAGGCTCGGACTGCGAGCGGGCCTTGCAGCCCCAGCAGCCAGCCCTGAAGCCATCCAGGAGAACCTGGCAGCGCTCCTCTGGCTGGAGCTGGAGTCTTTTCCTCTCCACCCAGCAGGAGCCCAGAGCTCAGGTGCGCCCCGCCTCCCTGTGTCTGGGAGTCGCCCTGCTCCTCGTGCTCCTGGAGCTAGAGAGAGGAGGCACTAAAAGCACCTCGAGATTGCTTTCTTTTGCTTCCCCAGAAATTGCTAAAACTCTGTGGGCGCTGAGACTGTGACTCCGGGGTAGCTGCCGGCCTGGCCTGTGCAGCTCCTGAGCTCCTCCGGGGCAGCTGTCGGCCTGTGCAGCTCCTGAGCTCGGGGCTCCATCCCAGGGAGCGAGGGGGCGCAGGGCGAGAGTGAGACGCGATGCTGGGCCAGCAGGGGCTGAGGGAGGGCAGAGCGCAAGGACTCGCAGAGGGGGCGCAGGGAGCCTCGGCGGCGGCGGCGGCGGCGGCGGCGGCACAAGGACTCAGGCGCATCTGGTGCGGCGGGGTGGTGGTGCGCGCCCCTCTCCTCCCCTCCACAGCCTGGAGGGTGGCCAGGAAGGAAAGATGGGGCAGGGCGGAAGCAGAGGCATCGCAGGCTGCGGGTGCAGAGGCCCTCGCTGCAGGCTGCGGCCGCGTATGCAGGGCCCTCGCCCACGCCAGCCGAGACCTGGAGCTCGCGCGGGCCGGCCTTCCCGGCGCGTCCCCAACTGCTCCCCAAGAGCAGCATTCCCAGCCGCCACGTAGGCCACGACACAGAAGGCAGAAAATGGAGCAGGTAAGTGAGAGGGCGGGAAGGCGGCGATCCACTCTTCGGGCGGCGGAGGCTTTCGGGAGCAGCCACCAGCCAGCCTGAAGAAACGAAGCGTGGAGATGGAAGTTACCTAACTTCACATCTGTGTGGAGGAACCCCACACACACGAACTAGGACCTCCGGGGAGGTGCGCGGCCTCGCAGGCTGCCGCGCAGACCAAGATACTGCTGTCTGCCGGGCGTGGCAGCCACCTCAAAAGCCTTAGTGTGGTAGACAGCCGTCGGTGCGGGCACTCAAGGCAGCAGGAATAGGTGCCAAGGAAACCGGAAGTGGCGTGGGAGCAACCGGAAGTCCCTCGTCCGCCTTCCTCCCGCGCCTGACTCCAGGGTCAGTTAGCGGTGTCCGGAGAGGTAGGCCTCTTCTGAGGACGTAGGTAACAGTGGGGATTAGTCAGAGTTCTCCTCTGGATAAGGGAATTGTCTGCACTGTCTCCAAGGCCCTCAGACAAGACAGCTATGGAAGGTCATCAGCACCCCGCCTCTCTTGACCCCACTCCGCAGGCCCTGTCTTCTGCCAGCTTCCCAGTAACAAGTGGAGAAGACAGAAGGTAATGTCTGAAGGGGAACGCAGAAAGATCAAGGCCTGCGCAGTGTGCCGAGGTCAGGCAAGCGCTTGGAAAGATGGCCAGCTGGCTCTACCCCTTAATTCTGTGGTGGCCTTGAAGTGCAAGGGCATTGTCAAGAAAGACAAAGGGTCCATTCCCCAAGGGACCGGGGTCTTGGCAGAAACCCAGACCTGGAGCATGAGGCCCTTCCTTAGGGCTCCTTGCCTCTGCTGACGCCCAAAGACAGAGCCAGGTGATCCTGGGGGAGAGTGTTCTCAAAAGTCCAGGACAACATGAAGATATTTAGATGTGCACCTGCTAAAGGGATGGTGACACTCCACCTTCCAAAGCGAAATCAACGTTTAACCAGAGACTAGTAAGTAAAGGAGTTTTCGCTCCAAGATTTCTATGATGCTGTTTTTGAAATAGCATACTCTTCCTACCAGGACTCCTAAATCTGTTTCTCCTAATCATGAGTTTAGCCTGTCTTTTGGACAAAGAGCTGTGAAGGGCTACAAGTGTCAGTTGTGGAGAAGACTAGTTGGGCATAGTGGTGCACGCCTGTAATCCCAGTACTGGGGCAGCTAAGGCAGGAGGATTGTTCCAAGTTCAAGGCCGGCTTGGGCTACAAAGTTAGCTCAAAGCCAGCCTGAACTGCATACTGAGAGCCTGTCTTGAAAAGACAAGAGAAGAGAGGAAAAAAGGGAGGGAGAAGGAAAAGGAAAAGAAGAAGAAGAAAACTAAGCTAGAAAGGTTATCAGGGTATATGGGAGAAGCCTGTGGGGTTCAGTGGTAACCTCAGTGGAACTTCAGGGAATGACCCCACAGTCCCCAAAACAGGATCAGAGAAGGGCTGAGGCATGGAGAACCTAAGCATTTTAAAACTGAAATTGGCTACGGTACTTTGTACTTATTTATGGTGCCATTTAACTCTGCTATGCATCAGCTCCAAGATCACTGACACTATTGCCTCTTTGCATTCATAAGCATAGATGTCATCAGAATTTCAAGGCCTTCTGCAACAAAAAAAAAAGGCCACTGGGGGGGGGGTGGCCGTGGGAGTCAAGGTCCATGACACACAGGGTCATTCTGAGACCTTCAGAGAAAGTATGAATCAGAGACGCAGGGCCTGAGAATAGGTAAGTAGGAGAACCAGGTAAATGTGTTACAGTTCAGGCTTAGCCAGGGTTTGGGAGCGTCAGGAGCCAGGATGCCGTGTTCTGAGCTCCAGCACAGGGCACCTGGGGGAGCTGGGCTTTGTATCTCTGGTCATAGAGCAGCAAAGCAACAACTCTGTTGCAGAGTGGGGACTATAAAATGCTGCTGTTTATTTAAAAGCATATTGTTGATCCTCCTTATTGTCCACCCACGTCTGCACCCCACGTTCCTGGAGGGCTCTGCTGGACACGCTACGGTTGGTCTAGGGGAAGAGACTAAACCTAGACATTCCACTGGATGTCATGTTACAGTAAAATGTGCACACCCACACTTACAGCAACACAGTGCCTAACAGCTAAGCCTTGGAAGCAGCCTCTGTGTGGCCAAAAGATAACTGGGTAAAGAAAGCCCAGTATTTACACACATTGGCAGACTACTTCATAAAGAAAGCTGAACCTGAGTCCTTTGTGGAGACATGGATGCACTGGGTTAACTGAAATAAATAGGACCCATAATCTTAGATATCGCATGATTTTTCTCATTGAAGAAACCCAAATTGGAACTGGGTGTGGTGGCGCCTGTCTGTGATCCCAGCACTGGAGAGAATGAGGAAGGAGGATCACTGGGGGTTCAAGGTCTGCCTGGGCTACAGAGCAAGACCCGTCTCAAAAAGAGAAAGAACAAATGAATGAACTACATGATTACATAATTGGAAGTAGAAAGGTAAGGTTTTCTCCAATGGGAAGGAAATCAGGAGGAGGAGAGAGGAGGGGAGAGGGGAGGGAACAGGGAGCTGAGAAGTGCCGTGCACTTGCGCCAGCTCCACCCCATCCTGGATGCACACATCATGTGCTACAAATACAGGCTGAGGGAAATAAATGAGAAAAAGAGAAAACAAACCAAGGATTCACAGAACTCAATAAGCACTTTTTCAATAAATGTACAGGAAACTCCTAAGAGAAAGTGTTGACCTTCCCGGTGACCTAGGAAAGGCTCGCATTGCTGAAGCGGCTCCCTTGTCAGGCTCTGCAGGGGACCCCATCTCCTTCCAGTTCCTTCCTCTGCCCCGTGCATGATGCGTCCAATTCTGGGCTGTAGGCTTCTCGCTGCGCACAGCCGAGGCCCAGACAGGGCTGTGAAGTTTCCAGCTCCCATATAGAGCTCACCCACGCTGATTCGTCCTGACAGTAGTGTCTCCAGGTCCCAAGGACAGGAAGCAGGTCTGATTCCTATCAGCCTCCCCACAGCAGCTAGCCCAGACCCTGCAGGAAGTAGCTTCCCCAGGAGCATTCGCCAGGAGAGCAGCCACCTCAGGGCCCGGCCCCACCCACCTCACCAGGGCCTCACCCAGAGTCTTTGGAAATCTGACTCCTGGGATCAACAAACTAAGATTCCCCACAGCACCCTGTACACAAAAAAATGTGATCCATAGTGCCAAAGCCACGGACACACAAACAGGATTAAAGGGATGGATTTCACTGAACAAGCATTCTCTGAAGTTGGGCACTAGGAGGTGGAATTTGGAGGCGCGTTAAACAGCAAATAAATACGTGAAAAATGTTTAGCATCGAGGTCATTGGAGAAATGGGCACTGAAAGAACAATGAGATTCTACCTCACTCCAGAAAGAAGGGTGATTATCAGGAAATCAGCTGGTAACAAATGCTGTTGAGGACTTGGGGAAAAAAACAACCCTTTTATTTTGTTGGTGAGAGGAGTGTAAACTGGAACAACCGCAGCAGAAAGCAGTACGAAGAATCCTCAGAAAACCAAAAGTAGAGCTTCCATGTGACCCAGCTGGTCCCCCTCCCGATAGTCAAAGCCATCTCTGCAAACCAGTGCTACCTGCACACCCGTGGTTGTAGCAGCACAATTTACAGCAGCTAACTCTTGAGAACAGCCCATGTGCCCGCCAACACAGGAGTGGGTGAAGCAGATGTGGCCTTTCTAGGTGCTGGAGTACTAGCCTGCCAGAAAGGGTGATAAGCTTGAGGCATCTGTAGAAAAATAAAAGCATCTTGACACCATCATCTTAAGTAAAACAGACCAGAAATACAAGCTTAAATATCCCATTGTTTCTCGCGTTCAAAGCCCACAGGATAGAAGGAAGGAGCCAGATGGAGGGCAGATATTTGGGGTCAGAAGAACCTGTTCGAGTGGGAGGGGGAAGGGGGCAGGCAAGGGAAAGGGAGGGAGGGAAGGAAAGAAAAGCGATTCTAGAAACAGCTGAAGGAATAAAGTGGAAACAGCTTTATAAACGGGAAGGGGAAGTCATATTAGAGGAGGCAGAGCGGGGTGCACACAGAATGAAGGTGCAGGGTGTGCAGGGAGGCACTCCCCAGGAGCAATGTCCTTATGTGTGACAAATGTGTACTAGTGAGAACTAAGTAGATTTTTTTTAAATAATGCTATTAAGTTGCCTCCTGTTATGTCACTAGGAAACAACTTGCAGAATGGAAGCAAGGGCTGGGGAGACAGCTCCGCGGTCTAAGCACCCAC